CTTACTATTGATTTAAGACTCAGTAAGAATATCCACCAACAAGTGGCTCTCACCCTAACGTATTACCGATTGCCGAGCTTAAAACAGACTGACTGGAAGATACGTTCATCAAATCTCCAAAACAATTTTGCTCGGGTGTGTTAAATGAAACAATTATTTCCAATCAAGTCAACCAAAACTCAGATTACTTAAAAACTATGAGTAGTATAACTTAGATATAATTCATTTTTATATTGGCTTTTTGGATCTCGGCATTGACATTTAGGTCTGCGATTGATCAGTCTCTTATTGACATATGTGCAGTCTCCGAGTTAATATCAACTCTTGGATTCATGTGTATCCAGCTAATGAGCCCCAAATGGGGTGAAACGCATGTCCTGTATTCCACTGTTAGCCACCATCTATTTGCTTATACTTAGATATACCAGTAAATTATTATCTTCGGTATGGGGTTGTGGAGATTCCATTAAAATCATGAACTTAACTAGGTAGACCACCTTTGAAAACGTAGGAGCACTGAATGACTGTTTCGTCCTAACTAGCTTCGAGAGAAAATTTCCAGAGTTTTAGTGAAAAGCTGTAACCAGTGTAGGTGATTGGTATTGAGTGTGAGGCAGTTACTCACCCAAGAGAATGGAAAATGGTCGCGCGATGATGTGGATTGATTTTGTCAGACATTAACACCGACGTATTACGGTTAAGTGATGTAGAGCCTAACCGCACGAGCGGAATAGTGGGTGCGCGCTCCTGAGCAGTCCCATACTAGGATGAAACGGCCGTCCAGTGTCGTCATGTTTTAAATGATGATCTAACTCACTTCTGTCCATGGTTTATGAATAAAAGAGGTCGATAATAAAGAATGAACCCAACACCAACTGACAGAATTGCTTGGTAGCGAAATAAAAATGTAGATCATACCTAAGTTATTTGAAAAAACTAGGAGCTGTTCTTGAAATAATAATTAAAAATCACTCTTAAGACCTGTGTATGATGTTGGGCTTCCAGTAGCAGTGCCAGAAGCATTTCATTACTAATGGCTTCTTATCAATGCCGTAGACAAATTTTACTTTTTTATGACTGGTAGTCAAACAACGAAATTAAATTATATTCCCTAATCTCTTGTTATTTATAGGTTTAAACTACATTCAGCAAATTTTTAAAAAGTAAAGTTCCAAATAGATCCAATTCAGTCACCATTTCTGTGAAGATGCTGGAAAATTCCTTACAAATGGAAACGTATCAATAGTAATTATATGACAAGAAAAGATAGGTTGAAAAAGACATTTGTTCTACTTTTCCATGAGTAAAGATTAATTCTAAAAACTTAAAGCAAAAAGGTCCATCACATTCTATTTATGGTAAACTTGCATGTTTATGCTCACTGCTTGCTCTTGAAGTATGAATTCATTTTATTCCAACTTCGAAACATTCGATGCTCCCAATAAACTACAGCATATAACTGTTGACTTACTGTTCCAGTATATTTAAGAATTCTCATGGCTTGGACATGATATTAAATACAGATATGCGATATATAAGGAGACTCACCGAGTGATTTTGAGTTTATGTGTAATCATAGTCGATTTTTTTCTGGCTATTAGAAAGTTATACATGCACATCGCAAGCGACGAACTCTCATATAAACACGAGAAAGTAGATAGATCTTTTATTTCAAGAAAGTAACCAGTAATTATCTATGCATTCTTCCTATATATCCCCCAGCACTTCTATTTTTATTGATTTTAGCAATGTCGTTGGGTGCCAACTCAATGTCGTTTAGACACAAATTAAGTTTGATATTATATCAAGATAATATAAGGCTTTTCAATCACGTCAAAAGATCATGTCTATAGGATACAATTAGTGAGGAGTTGAACATAATAATAGTTACTCTCAAAATTCATGACCAAGTATGTTAAGACAGAAACGAAGCAAGTATAGTATGCCATGATGGAAAGGAAGCTGTCTTCCTAAGACATGACTTCAGGGTAATGAAATAGATGTTTCTAGTTCCCAATCCGATTTCCTGTATCAAACGATCTGCTTGTTATGACAGTCATATATGGCAAATTTTCGTCATATATTACCTCCAATCGTTTCTACCAATACACATGTACGTGCTGGAGCAAATACATTGGAGGAACAGAAAGGAGGCTTAGTGTTCAGAACCCTGAATATATTACACAGAAGCTTAGACTAAAAGGACAGCGCATTGTAACAGTGAGATTGTACACCATATACTTGATGGTACTCATTGCGTTCATGACTTAAAGTCTTTCAGGGTAGTTTGCAAACGTAGCACGTTAAATTTACTGTTTTGTTGAAGCAATTACCATAAAAACTTGAACCAAATTAGTGACTCAATTATTAATTTTACCTTACCATAGCAACCTAATTCATAAATGACTGTCACACAATCGTTCTTACTTTTTAATTTTTCTATCCTTTCTGATCTCCACTTTGTCAATTTCATTTTATTTTTAGGGACTACATAACTATAACATTGATATTTCAATGTTAAATGATTCTCTTTGTTTATTTTTAGTTTGTATTCTAGAATATTCACATATTCAATCTCTAGATTGACATTACTTAACATATGAACATCTCTTATAATTCTTCAATAATTTCTAATTTTTTCATGAATCTTTATTGATGAGAACTTTTCCGATATTATGGTGTAAAGTGCACTGATTTCCAATACGTAATACTATTATGTTTGTGTTATAAACGACTGGTGAGAAACTAGAAATCAAATGAATTCATGTTTTGATCAAATTGATCAATGGGAAAATTGTAAGAAACTTTATTAGCTAGCCTTTAGGGTAGATATTTTTACAGAAAACAGACAGGAGATAATTCCCTCCCATTTTTCACGTCCCAAGTGCTGCATTGTGTTTTGGCTCTTTTGAATAGAGTCTGTATACAACTCGTCTTGTGTGCTGCTGGGTTGTTGCTGCCGTTACTTAGTATTTGATCAGTATGGCTTGCTTCCTTTATACTTGACTTTCCAGCACTTCTGCTTTTTCTGTTTATTAATAAATTAATATACCATCACAAATAAGCATCGGGAACTAAGGAAAAGATGATTTCACCATGTGTGAAAGGCATCTCAAAAATCAGCACGAGGATCACAAAACGTTTTGGAATAAATGTCGCTCGTAAACCAAAATATTCGCTCCACTCTATTTCATTCAGACGAAAAGACAAATACAATATCATCTACAGAACGAATTATATCAACCTTGACGAACACTATATTTGACCATGCGGATTCCCTTTCCACCTACGCATACATTAACATAAACTACCAATGAAATGATGCGATACCACTGATATTAGTACATGTAGGCAGCTACGGACATTAATCCCACTGAGAGAACGTCGAAGTTCCGGATCGCGGAAACTCCAAGAAAGGCAGAGAATTTTTCGAAGCATGACATTTAGATTGGTCAGCAATTAACAGACACATTGATTTAGACCTGATCTTCATTCAGGAAAGGCCAGGCAATAGCCTGGACAAAGGTCAACGGAACAAAACAGTCAATTCTATTACAGGTCCAGCTGAAGATAATCAAACTTACAAAGATAACCAGTTACATTAATGACACCAGAAAAAGCTGATTTAAGACTCATGGAAAAGCTAAGAAGCTCACTTCTAGACGAATTAAGCTCTGATGATGTTATTCAGAACCACAATGAAAGCTTCACAATCAGACAGTATAGCTGGAAGAACTCAACAACACTGAAAGCATCCACCTGAGCTGTAAGTTTTGTCCATTATTTTGACATAATGTAGATATATTTTACTTTTTAGCTCAGCAACCTAAGCGTCAAAAATATACTTCATATAGATTCGGTTAAACCGTTTTTACAAAATCTTTTACTATCTACAGACTTTTGGGGTACCACTCTGCTAGTATAAAAATAATATTCATAAAATAAATATAAGGCTTCTCTGTACGGGTGAAACTATTCATATGGTTTACAAGCATATATTTTAGTTAATTGTAATAATAGACGTTGAAGCTAAGAAAACAAACACTACACCAATTAATAAACATTCAGAGAAAATTACTCAGCACTGTCTAACAATCAAGCGTAGAACATAAAGTAATAATAAGTAATCGACAAAACAATGACCATTTTCATGAAAGAATAAGTAAAAGTAATGTTTGAGACAATATAACTTGATGTTTTAACTTTCTTCCAGTACAAATACAACTGTATGGGTCCATTTTCAGCCGTATAGTGTTAATTTGCAGGTTTCAAGTTATTACCCTACTCGTCCTACTATATTGAGAAAATGTTAAGGTTCTTTTTAAATCTGAGAAATATCTAAGCAGCTAGTGAAGACAAAAATGATCGTCTGATATGTGTTTTTAAACGACCTTTATGATTAATATTACTACTACTGAAATTCCACTATGAAGATCGATTTGATATACTTAAAACTTTCGTTAGTTATATTCCAGTAACTTATAATAAATTTAACCACATAAAACAAATTTATTTTCACCATTTTTCAATTAAAGTCAGCACTTCAGTTCGTAGCATTCTTTTACGTGATCAAACGTGAACAAGAGTGTATAACATTGAAATAACAAGACGTGTTTTTACAACAAGGAAATAAGGTTAAATGTAGAAATCAGTCACTTCTCGATTATTCACCATATATGGTGAATTTTATAAAGTAGTGAAAATAGTATGTGGTGTATTGAAAAAAAACTGACTAAATATTTAATATATATATATATATATATATATATATATATATTAATTTTAAAGTAGGTTAGTTAACATAATCATTGCCAACAACAAACCAACAATAAAGTGAACTAAGTTTACTATGATACATTTCAGTGTAGCAAAATATTCATTTCTCATTCACTTTTGCATATTGACACATAAATGAGTGTGCAACTTAATTGAAAAATCAGAAAATCTGTTATTTTAATTTACTGTATTTAAGTTGATTGCACTAAAAAATATTTCTAAGATTAAAATAATAATAATAATAATAATAATAATAATAATAATAATAATAATAATAATAATAATAATAATAATAATAATGATGATGATGATGATGATGATGATGATGATGATGATGATGATGATGATGATGATGATGATGATGATGATGATGATGATGATGATGATGATGATGATGATGATGATGATGATGATGATGATGATGATGATGATGATGATGATGATGATGATGATGATGATGATGATGATGATGATGATGATGATGATGATGATGATGATGATGATGATGATGATGATGATGATGATGATGATGATGATGATGATGATGATGATGATGATGATGATGATGATGATGATGATGATGATGATGATGATGATGATGATGATGATGATGATGATGATGATGATGATGATGATGATGATGATGATGATGATGATGATGATGATGATGATGATGATGATGATGATGATGATGATGATGATGATGATGATGATGATGATGATGATGATGATGATGATGATGATGATGATGATGATGATGATGATGATGATGATGATGATGATGATGATGATGATGATGATGATGATGATGATGATGATGATGATGATGATGATGATGATGATGATGATGATGATGATGATGATGATGATGATGATGATGATGATGATGATGATGATGATGATGATGATGATGATGATGATGATGATGATGATGATGATGATGATGATGATGATGATGATGATGATGATGATGATGATGATGATGATGATGATGATGATGATGATGATGATGATGATGATGATGATGATGATGATGATGATGATGATGATGATGATGATGATGATGATGATGATGATGATGATGATGATGATGATGATGATGATGATGATGATGATGATGATGATGATGATGATGATGATGATGATGATGATGATGATGATGATGATGATGATGATGATGATGATGATGATGATGATGATGATGATGATGATGATGATGATGATGATGATGATGATGATGATGATGATGATGATGATGATGATGATGATGATGATGATGATGATGATGATGATGATGATGATGATGATGATGATGATGATGATGATGATGATGATGATGATGATGATGATGATGATGATGATGATGATGATGATGATGATGATGATGATGATGATGATGATGATGATGATAATTTTTGGATGGTTATATGAAACCGCTTAAGCATTTATTGAATTTTAATATTGTTTCTCTTTATGTGATTGCTGAAATTGTTTATTCGTGTCATTTAATAACTATATGTTACGGTTAATTTCTGTACTGTCTTCAATGTATTCAATTGAGTATTTTGTTTTATTTATTTGTGACTTCACACGTTTGATGATATATCATTTTTCATAACAATTTATGGAACTTTTCGAAGTTCACGAATTGTATTTTTTTCTGAAAATCAGTGTCCGATTTTTCCGTGAAAACAAAAATTCAAACAAATAATAGTATTTTTGTATTTTTGTAAGTAATTGAGACGAAAAATTCGGAATTATTTTGAGTATTAGCTCATCTTATTTTTTTGTCTAACACATTTGAGGATAACCAGATTGTAATGGGAATTTGTCTGAACATGTTTAGAGCTATGTGATGAGTACACTCGGTCTCAAAGCGTCTGAAAATCTAGGGATATTGGGAAGCATATATGCAATAAGCATATATTATTCGAAGTATATTGAAACATAATTTTCATTTACTGATATTCGACCAATGATGTCTCATCTAACAGACTGATGATTTCTATTAGTCTAAAAAAAGGCTTCAGTAATTTGGCTTCACCTGAATTAACACTGAAAAATAATAACACCCAATAAATAAGTTCCATTCGACTTTTCAAACCAATCAGATTTTTCACCCATCGGAATAGTTTTATCTTCTTTAGTTAACCATAAACGATAGATAATCTAGTAAAATGCAAGTCAACTCTGAAGACAACTACCCTTAATCAAGATAAGATTGATCTTTATTCAAATTCATTAGCTACACATCAATGAATAAGGGAATCAGAAATTGCTTTCTCAAATGATATCGAAATCTCCTATAAAATATTTTCTACTCGCATATCTAATTTTTAAAAAGCTCTACCTCATCACAAACCACCCTGTTTTAAATTTACTTATCTCAACCTACCTTGATAGCTTCATATTATTTGATTACAAAATTTTAGATACATTTTGTCTATTGGTAGTTGATAACTTGAATAACAGCAGGTATATCATCATATGATCGAATGGTCTGACGAACCTACGTGAAAAAACAATAAAACCTTTAGTCATAAATCAACTTAAATGTTAAAGACTAAACCAAGTCAATATTAACTTAGAAGCTGGTTTGCAACGCATCTGGATTATTTGTTTAGTGTGTTTTAATAATGAAGTGTCCAGTGTGTAACAAAGAAGTTTACTTCGGTGAGTATTTTATAGTGGCTTTTTATTGAACAGCTGAACGCATTGAAACACTGGGTAAGGACTGGCATCGCAGCTGTTTAAAGTGTGGAAGATGTTACAGACCGATTACACCAGGTTATCATTGCAAGGTAGGTGTAATGCATGTTAGAACATTGCGAATAAAGGATAATTTGACAGATATGCTTACATTAACTCATATAATAGCACAGTTTTGTTACTATGCTATGAATATACATGGAGAAATTATATTCCATAAAACTCTAAAATTTGCTTAGAAAACATCAAATTTTATCACTTTTTTCTTATTTAGTTTCACCATTTTACACTAATTTTATCACGTTCCATTAGGATATCTTTTCCTCAATAGAATTATTTGTTGTCAAGTTCAACCGCTGTTGCATCTACACATAGTTGTACGTATCTCAATGTATAATTCTGTGCTACGAACAATGTAAGTGACGATACATTCACATTGATACAGGGTCAAAATGACAGGGGATTCCAACGGGTATCATCTGTTATTCTACATGATAAATCCTAATCTCATTGTCACATTTTCGTCAAACACCATGACGATCAGTAGCTTCTCTGAGTTATTTTTTGAATCTGCTTTATTTTTTTATCTTGAAGTCAAAAGGTTACAATATGTGAAATGTAATGACAATGTAGGTGAGAATATTATTCACAAATTACTACACACCTCACTTCATGAAAATCTTCATTGGACCAGATATCTTTAAAATATAACTGTATTTAATCCTTACCTAAAAATGTTTGATTGGTCTACTGACAATACTGTTATCAAAAAGCCTGAAAGTTCACCTGGTATTTAGTTAACGCTCTGAACAACTCTACAACACACTGGACTTTTATTACATAGTGTCACTTCAAAACAGCACGACCCCTACATTATGATAGATTTGATAATCATATCTAGAGAATGAGCACAGATCTACGTTAACACCTTGATTGGTCTCCCCACTAGTCTCTGCTGAATATCCAAGAAGATAGTTATCTCGATTTACTTTACGGCTTTGAAGCGACAGGCTACTTAGTACGACCTTGAGACTTTTAACGCGTGAGTTCAACTTGTGACTGAAAGACCTTTATAGTAGAGAGAAGAAACTATCCTACTACTGAAATTTGACCTGATTAATTGGTAAGCGAAGGAAGTAAATGATTTAGCTGGAATATTTACTCGATTCGTTATTGATTCAACTACCGTAAGAAAGGTACATAAATATATAACTAACGAGACCTCAACACACAGGGAATGTGAAAAATACAATCACATCCAAACGAGGACACTACAGTAGAATGAATGGAATACAAGAATCATGTTTGAATGTTTTAATTTTGAAAGGTAAGACACAGTAATTTATGTTATAAAAATACTTAAAATTTCCCGAATAAAGCAAGTACAAAACTAAATGTTAATATTGTACAGATTTCGAATTAGGTGAAAGTGTCCCAAAAAATCGCTTTCGTTGTTTATCCCTGCTTCTTTATTTATATCATAACATCAGTTTAGTAATATCTATTTATCATAATTTATATGAAGTCACATTTCACTAGCAACATAACTGAAACTAGCGGTAATCATGGTCATAAGATAATATACCACACCACAAAATGTTTTTCTTAATGCAAACATCATTACATTTCAGCGTAATGGCCGAATTTATTGTTATAAACCTTGTTACATGACTCTGTATGGACCAAGAGGTGAGTAGTTGGTAGTTTGATAGCCTTCGTTTTCTAATAAAATCAATGTTCATTATTCGACATTTATTAAAACAATTTACGTAGAAATTATTTGTTGGTTGTAAACTCGCCTATCGACCAATTTGTCGTAGATCCGAACTTCACCCTACCTATTTCAGCTTGGGTAGCTGATATATCAATAGTTCTGACATGTTACTCGAACCTGCGCGTAAATATCTATAATTGATAAATGACTTTCTACTAAAACAAAATAAAAAAGATCTGAAAAAAATATCTTAAATTATACCCTACTGAAAGCACTACTTAATCAATTTGTACCACGTAGGATTTCGTTAACAACATGAGTGATGATATACCAGAACAATGTCACTCGATACATTGTTGCTCCAGGTTGTAAACAATAGTACTTTGTTGCGATTTTATATTAGAGTTGAGATGATGCAATGAATTAATATACATATTAGTGTATTTCTTAATGCACACCAGCATATACGGATATACGTGCATCAAAAAAACCATTGAAACCACAACTAACTCAACGCTTTAATTTACTTCACTGCTTACTCATTCGAAAGTTCGTCTAACTGTTTTTATTACTTGATGATCTATAAAACAAAATCTGATAGACGTGATTAATATGTACGGAAATAAGAAAGCATGCAACTCGTGTGAATGAACTTCATAGGACAACACAGGATAAACGTCAGGTAAGATATGGAAAGTTTAGATAATTAAAATGGCAAACAGAAGTAGCTGCCCTATAACATAACTACTGTATAAAATAATGCCGATTTCCATGAATTATATCTGCTCAACTAAAAAGAGTACTGCATAAGATGTTTTCGTTTCCCTATTTCATTCTAAAAATAAACACCGATGTATATCACAAAGACGAAAACTGAGGTTGGTTTCCGTCCTCACAAAAGGAATAATAAAGCAAGAAATTTCTATACACTTTTACCTATCATTTCCTTCAGGATATGGTGCGGTACCAAACACTGAAAACTACTCATAACAGAATGAACATGCATGACAATTGGGATGAATAGTCATTATTGACAATGTTTCCAAGACACATGAAATAGATTTATTTAATTACTACTTATCTCTGTGATTTTAATACCATATACTTTGTAATAAAATCGCTTATCATAAGATGCGTGTTTTTCGTTCTATACCACAATGATCCGGGGTTAAATGATAGTGAGAGGTGCTAAAGGTTATCTTTAGTAGACCATGATACACTTTGGTTTACTGAATAACGATCATCGTTGATAACTAATTTTCAAAGAAATTATCAGTAGAAATTTGGAGAAACGTAACACAAATAGAATAAAATCAAACAGGTAAACTTCAGGTAAGGAGTAGAAATTCTCACATCGGAACTATAAAACTCAGAAGGGTTCTATTACCTAGAACGAGATTAACTCAGATAAATAATTCCTCAATATTTACATACATTGTTCAGATACACCTATGCATCATGACGCTGGAATAGTAAAGTAGGAATCTCTTGCTATTATGCTAAGTGCTACAACTTTGGAATTAGCCTCTCTTTCACAATTGAGAAGCGAACAAAGATCGACAGTCAAAAGGGATGGTGGACCCACCAATTCCTCAAAACTGTTATAACCCGACAAGAACTATAAGTGGTAGATTTTGAGAACTATTTATGGACCAATATGATGCATATATTTTTATTGTATAATTGTTATGTAACTAAACTATGCATATTCAATTTCCTCCTATTATAAGCTTTGTCTTGACCCATAGACTATTATTATGCGATTTACTGTTCTTGAATTATGCTCAGTCTATTAATTACAATCTCCCACATTCACAGCCATTTTTGGCTAGATCTTGTACAAATATTGTTTTCTATTTTGTGGTGAGATGTGGTCTGTTTGGTTTGTATATAAATACAGTATGTTTGAAATACATGACTCATATTTCAGAGGCTGAGATTGGTGTTTTGGACTCAACAGGCATTGCTAGGCAGGGAGACGGTCTGATAAGGATTCTAGACCACTCGTACGGGTTTACGCGTCATTGGTCTGATCGATAAGTCGCTGTTCTCTAATTGGTGGTATCATTACGTTATATATTGATAGGGCACAAGGCCACAAGTTATAACAAAAACACAACGTTAACCCGTTAGTTTACCAATGAAAACAGTTGAAAAGGAATAGTGAAACAGCAGTAGGACTTGTTGATAGAGGTCCTCGTCGAGTTCTTGAGTCCTAAAGTGGTAGTAATAAAAGATATCAACCGAGAAAAGAAAATCTTATTTTTATTAGATCTAGTTGCCAAATGAACAGAAGGCAACTTTCCCATACGACAAAAGAATGTGTATATCAACAGCATTCGGTCCAGTTTGTTTGATATTTAAATACCCCTATTTTCTCCAAAATAATTTACTCTTAATGAGTTAGTACACTTCAAGCTTCTTCAAAGGAAATGAAGCTTGGATCAGACTGCCGAACATAATATGGGATTCCTTTTAATTCCAGTCACTGAGATTTTTACGAATACAACTTCATTAGTGTCTTCCGTTAATTCTGTTCCTGACGAACGTGAAACAGTTCTTTCAAATTTAGAAATAATAATAATCTGTTCAAGTTCACCAACTCTTTTCTCCTAAAAACACATATCATGGGCAACTTACGTTGCTACAATTTACCTCTTACAAACAAACCCGCAAGAATCCACACAAATAAGTAAGACATATGAGTCCGAAAGTTGATACGGCCACCTCTTTTACCTTGGACTTTTGCTAAATTTAAGCTTACACTAACGTTTTTCATTCTCATTCTCATATGTACAGGATATATCTCAATAACTAACCCAATCAATGATACTCAGAAAACATCTTTATTACATTTAAGGGAAAAAGTTGATCTACATACACATACATATTGTTTATTGACTTGCCACCATTTTGACTGGTATTCCGAATTCAGAAATAGTTTTTCATTCCCTATACTAATAGATTGTTCACTAATATTTCCATACTAAAATAATTCAGAATCTGCAAAACATGGACACTGATAACAGATGTTTCAGTTTGTCCTCTACGTAAGTGCAGATTTATCAGATTCTGAAGAGAGAATACTTTAAATTCATGCTTAACGTCGCTTGTTAACTTTCAATATATTTCCGGAAAGTAGATCATTTCTTAATCCGTACACTCTCCCATCGCACTCAAATCACACGTTGTATGCATGGTCCTCAATCAAGATGTTCAGCTCACTTTCTCTACTAGTTGTGCGTATAGTATGCGGTATAAACAAGAGGACAGAGAAATATATTGAAGATACATATCTGTCACTACATATTCATGTATGACTTGATCAATACACCCCTATCAATCAGATTCATTTCATTGGACTTCAACTGCTCAAGTGTGATTTTAATTGGTCGTTGATGGCCTTGAAAATAGTGGTCAGAAAATCATGTGACATGACGGTGAGACCGATACGATTGGATAAACAATAAAAGCATGAGAAAAGTTACGTTGTGTAAGCTGTAGGTCGTGCTAGCGTTTTGTCGGTATAGTTTCTCCCTTCTGTTTTTGTTACCTGGGTTTATCAGCCATGAAATGCCCTTCATGCAATAAGGAGGTCTACTTTGGTAGGTTTAATAGTATGCAATTATATTAAATAGCTGAGCGGGTCAGTTCACTTGGAAAAGACTGGCATCGTCCGTGTTTAAAATGCGAAAAGTGCAAAAAAACGCTGACTGCGGGTTCCCACTGTGAAGTAAGTGTCTTTGTTTACCGTATTGTTTTCATGAATAAGTTGGCTTAAAATCATTAAATAACTATCTTTCTTGTCAACATGATTACTTCAATTTATCTTATTTTCACTTCGTATTTGATTCAGCTTCGCTTCGCGTCGATTCACCCTTGACCTAATATAACATTAGTATGACTACTTGTTTGTATTTGGCAAATATTTGGTCTAATTTATTTCCTGTGCTTTTATTTAAACTGACTTGCTAGTTATTTGTTCTCTGGAAAAAGTGACTTTCACTAAGTCGCAAGGTGTCATAAATCCGACTTTCTACTCATTGGATTATTACGAATAAGGTATTATTGTGAGCAATCTATTGGAAGGCCAATTTATTTGAAATTCTCAAGTCAAATCGGTCTAGCAATACTTGAAAGATGACTGGTGGGTTTTTTTCTTCATTTACTTTATACTGATTCGAAGGAGTATTTACTGAGAGACACAAAAAATAGAATGATAAAGAAGTACGGCACAACCGCGTAAGTCTTATTCATGCCTATGAGCAATCTGTGAAAATGTGTTATCTTGAATATTATTCTCATTGATTAGGATCTCCTAGTGGGTTCTGTGGAATGTTCTTTGTCGCGTTCTTTAGTAGTGTTAGTTTTGGTCATTACATTCACCGAAACGGTAGTTTGAACTGGTCTTTTTGAAATACTAAACGGTGTATCAGTGTGATAGCTTTGGTTTCATACTGCTGATCTGAAGCCGATGAGATATCACTATCCACATAGCATTTTACAACATATCAATTAATTCTTTTCAACAGAAAAGTGTTAGTCAATGAACTTTCTCAGTGTTTTGTTCAGTGAGACATAATGAGAATTAAAAGGTTAAGTATATTGTTCGGATGTTGTGGTTGTGTATAAGAAATGTAAGTTTTATTATGGAGTTGATGTAAACTAAGGACATAATAGAGTGACTTTTTGCAACTGCTAATCAGTATGATATTTATTTATATTTCAGCATGATGGTAAACCCTATTGTCAGATTCCGTGTTACCAAGCCCTGTTTGGACCCAAAGGTGAGTGATCATCAAGTAATCGGTTCTGTTTGTTAATAAGTTGATTTGAAAGCTTGCAGGTGCTAGAATGTGTAGCATTCAATTTGGTTGCAAATGCGTTTAGTACGAACTTCCACTTGCAGTATTAAGTTGTGTATCACTGAAATATTTAGAATGAGGTATAAGCTAGTGAACATTGTGTTGTTACGTCCTTCATCTGTCTGCCCAGAACATACAGGAGAAGAATTTCCTCGATCTAGGTTAAGGCTTTGACACGGTAGGCTAACTGGTTCAACCTTGAGGCTAGAATTGCGTGAGTCCGAGTCGAGATATATGAATAAATATATGACTAACACGATCACAACGTACAAACAATCAGAAAAATACAATTATATTCAAACTAAGCATTAGGGTAAAAAAAGTAGAGTGCAAATTGTTACGTATAAATTACAATAGTTTTGGAATAGAAAAAGGTACGGCCGTGTATTATGCATCAAACGGAAGCTTATGCTTTATGAAATAATCCAGGAACTAAACGAAATGTTAGTATTTTACAGACTTAGAATTAAGTTTAATAATATCCTCAAGATTAGCTCCCTTTGTTCGTCATAGCTTCTATATCTCTCTATTCAAATAATTTATAGTCTGATTAAATTGTGTGTTATTGGCAAGTTAGTATTGTATGTGCTCATGAAAACGACTGTCGTCCTGAGTATATGTGAAGTAAATTAGGCACTTTAAGACGACAATAACAAGATTAACTACAGGCAGGTCCCCAGTATTGCAAGATAGTAGATAGGAGGGCTATGTATATTGCCTTCAACTTGCAAAGGTATGTTTTTAAGTGGAGTGAAATATCGGTCCTGATTTTGTCTATTTTAGAAAAAAAATTGTGTAGGAGAAAGTCACTGTCAAAAATTAATATTCATCTACTATATTGGCACATTTTGTTTTCAGGTTACGGATCAGTGGCCAGCAGTCACATCTACAAATAGATAACAAATTTGTTATTTCAAGTTTTGTTTATACATTCTACGTGACTACTTTTGATGTCTCTTATTCAGACAATTTCAATAGATCGCTCCTTCAAGTACTGTTAAATTACTTGATTTTGATGTTTTAACTTATGAAATAAACTCGCTGCTTAAAATTTGTTTTACTTTTCACTCTCAGTCCGTAATTGACGGTGAGAAGTGGTTTCTTCGTCCACGTCGTTGTAATAAATCATCAAACTGGTAAGAAAATGTGTTCATGTCAAACACGTGGGGTAACCAGCGGATGAAAAAATCGTTACCGAGCTGTTGATAAGTCCGGCCTTTGTGATTTTATTTTAATCTGACTATTTCCTTGTTACTTCTGATCATTCATATAAACTAAGAGGTCAAAAACAAATTGGAAATATACCCAGTCGCTTCTTACCAACAAATCGTCAGCGAAAGGATATAGGAACTACAGATTACAAGTTTTAACTCTACCCAGAACAATGCATTCTAGTTCCCAGAAAACGCAAGCACGATTACAACTTACACAACGTAACTTTTCTCATGCTTTTATTGTTTATCCAATCGTATCGGTCTCACCGTCATGTCACATGATTTTCTGACCACTATTTTCAAGGCCATCAACGACCAATTAAAATCACACTTGAGCAGTTGAAGTCCAATGAAATGAATCTGATTGATAGGGGTGTATTGATCAAGTCATACATGAATATGTAGTGACAGATATGTATCTTCAATATATTTCTCTGTCCTCTTGTTTATACCGCATACTATACGCACAACTAGTAGAGAAAGTGAGCTGAACATCTTGATTGAGGACCATGCATACAACGTGTGATTTGAGTGCGATGGGAGAGTGTACGGATTAAGAAATGATCTACTTTCCGGAAATATATTGAAAGTTAACAAGCGACGTTAAGCATGAATTTAAAGTATTCTCTCTTCAGAATCTGATAAATCTGCACTTACGTAGAGGACAAACTGAAACATCTGTTATCAGTGTCCATGTTTTGCAGATTCTGAATTATTTTAGTATGGAAATATTAGTGAACAATCTATTAGTATAGGGAATGAAAAACTATTTCTGAATTCGGAATACCAGTCAAAATGGTGGCAAGTCAATAAACAATATGTATGTGTATGTAGATCAACTTTTTCCCTTAAATGTAATAAGATGTTTTCTGAGTATCATTGATTGGGTTAGTTATTGAGATATATCCTGTACATATGAGAATGAGAATGAAAAACGTTAGTGTAAGCTTAAATTTAGCAAAAGTCCAAGGTAAAAGAGGTGGCCGTATCAACTTTCGGACTCATATGTCTTACTTATTTGTGTGGATTCTTGCGGGTTTGTTTGTAAGAGGTAAATTGTAGCAACGTAAGTTGCCCATGATATGTGTTTTTAGGAGAAAAGAGTTGGTGAACTTGAATAGATCATTATTATTTCTTGAATTCACTGCTGTCTTTCGCAATGAACTATCTTACGTGTATATCGTACTGCAATCCAGAGTCTCACTATAAAAGGAAACTGAAGAATGAATACAGTTCTTTCCGTCTTCAAATCTGTTTTCTCTCTTTGTGGCGCATATCTATCTGATTCTTCGTTGTACCAATCGCCTGTATCCAAATAATAGTAATAACATAACTTAATACAAGGATGTGTCCGAAGTAACCACTTCTCACTGTCAATTACGGACTGAGAGTGAAAAGTAAAACAAATTTTAAGCAGCGAGTTTATTTCATAAGTTAAAACATCAAAATCAAGTAATTTAACAGTACTTGAAGGAGCGATCTATTGAAATTGTCTGAATAAGAGACATCAAAAGTAGTCACGTAGAATGTATAAACAAAACTTGAAATAACAAATTTGTTATCTATTTGTAGATGTGACTGCTGGCCACTGATCCGTAACCTGAAAACAAAATGTGCCAATATAGTAGATGAATATTAATTTTTGACAGTGACTTTCTCCTACACAATTTTTTTTCTAAAATAGACAAAATCAGGACCGGTATTTCACTCCACTTAAAAACATACCTTTGCAAGTTGAAGTATTTATTTATTTGAACACATGAATATTGGTACAAGAGAGCGCCAATATATATGCGCCACACAAAACAATGAGAATTCGAAGAGAAGTAGAAAAAAAAAACTAAAGAGCGCAAAAGAAAAAGAGAACAATGACGAAGAGATTGGAGTAAGGTAGTGTGGTAGTAACGACGGAACGAAAAGGTACAATCAGAAGAAATCTTTCAGGTAAGGAAGACACAACCACTTTTTATGAAGAAAGTAAAAGAAGGTTACAGCAGGATCGCCACTGGCTTCTATTCTGAGCCATATCTGATAACGTCTCTAGCCACTGTGTAGCACCATCTCTCAGACCCCAACCAGGGAGTCGTGAAGGACCAACACAAGCCAGTCCTTTGCAGCTTTCTTTCATGCCACGACACCATGTCATGCACTGACCACCTCTCCGCTTCTTCCAACCAGTCCCAGAGTCGGCAAATAATGCACGACGTGGAATTCTCTGGGACGACATTCGGAGAACATGTCCAAGCCACCGAAGTCGGTGTTTCAAGATGGTGACACCAATTGCATTATCATCTCTGTGCCCGAACACACGATGCCGAACCTCTGCATTACTGACATGGTGTTGCCACTGAATGTCAGCAATCCTTCGGAGACAGCGATGATCGAACACAGAGAGTCGTCTAACGTCCTCAACTCGGAGAGGCCAGGTTTCACAAGCATAGAGCAAAACTGCTCTCACCGACGCGTTGTAGATCCGACCTTTTACAGCCAGACTAACATCACGAAGGCGCCAAAGGTGGCCCAGATTGGCATAAGCCGCTCTGGCTTTCACTATTCGTGCATTGATCTCATCACTCACACCCCCACCAGCACTTATGCAGCTACCCAGATACACGAACTTCTCGACTACGTCTATCTGCTCACCATCCAGGGTGAGTACAGGATTAGAATCCTGCCAGTCTTGTAGAAGTACTTTGCACTTCGAAGGTGCAAAGCACATACCATACCTACGGACACTGATTGCCAACTGATTAAGTGCGGATTGCATGCCTTGGGCATTATCGCACAGTAAGACAATATCGTCCGCATACTCAAGGTCGAGAAGTCTTTCTCCAGGCAACAGATCCACACCACCATTACTTACATTCATCAGAGCTGTTTCCAGAATGTCATCGATGGCAAAGTTGAAGAGGAATGGTGAGATTGGGCAACCCTGCCTAACCCCACTGCTCGAATGGAACAATGGAGAGAGGTGGTTGTATGCCCTCACTCTGCCTGAGGTGTTTTTATATAGGGCTTTTAGGATGTTAATAAACTTCTCAGGCACACCCTTCTTCAATAGACAATCCCAGAGAACAGTCCTGTCCAACGAATCGAAGGCAGCCCTGATGTCAAGAAACACTACGATTGTTGGCCTTTGATAAGTATGGCGGTGTTCTAACATTTGGCGGAGGGTGAAGATATGATCAATACATCCTCGACCAGAACGAAACCCAGCCTGCTCCTCGCGAGTCAATCTTTCTCGGGTTTTGAACAACCTACGAAGAATGACGGAAGCCAATAGCTTGGACGCAATCGGAAGTAAACTTATCCCCCGATAGTTGTTACAGGAACGACGTGAACCCTTTTTAAAGATAGGGACAACTATCGACTCATTCCATGACGTTGGTACACACTCTAGTTCCCAAACCTTTGTAAACAACGTCGTCAATTCCTTAGTCAAAAAGTCACCACCATCTTTAAAAAGAGCCGGAGGTAAGTCATCTGGGCCAGGTGATTTGTAACGCTTCAAGAGTTGGAGTTCCTTGCGGACTTCCTCCTCATTTGGTGGATCAGTCGTCACCGGCCATGGAGGGCAGGACAGTCTGACCGATGTTGCCGGAGCAGCAGGCCAGTTGAACTGCCCTTCGAAAAATTCTGCCCATCGTCCAAGACGTCGATGGATGTTAGTGATTGGCATCCCATCATCCTCGCAGATTGTTTCACTCACACCAGACTTCTTGCTGCCAGTGGCTCGGATGAGCTGGAAGAGCTTCCGGTAGTTACCAGATGCAGCTGCTGCTTCCAGCTCATTAGCACGCATCGACCACCAGGCTTCTCGGTCCTTACGCAAGCTTTGCCCAATTTTATTACGTAACATCCTTCGTTTATGGTCAAACTCACGGTCACCCGGAGTAGACCGACGGGCTTCAATGAGTTGTAAGGAACCAGAAGAAACCCAGTGCTTAAAGCGGGACGTTTCGCAAACCCACAACTGACTGTTCCCGCCATTTTCATGGCGTCATGCAATTGCAACCAATGCTCATCTATACTTTTCGGTGGAGTGGTAGCTAGCCTAGAGGCTAGCTCGGTTCGATACTTACTTGCAACAGAAGTTGCAACCAGCTTGCTAACATCAATCCGTTGATGGCGTCACTTCGTTGTCCACTGAAAAGTAAGGCAAGATTGGCGCAGACCAAGGCATGGTCAGAGTCCAGATAGGTACTCCAAAAGGAGCGGCAGTCTTGTACACAACCACGCCAGCGGTAGCTGATCGCGATGTGATCAATCTGAGTCCAGGCTTGAGATGCAGAGGGAGGACGCCAGGTGGCACATCGGCGATGACTGTGCCGAAAGTTAGTGCTAGCCAGAAACAGGTTGTGGTCTGTGCAAAGTTGCAGTAGACGGTCCCCGTTATCTGACCTGCGACCAACGAGTCCCCATCGGCCACCTAAACGACTCTCTTCTGTGCCTAGACGCCCGACCTGAGCATTCAAGTCTCCGGCTAGTACTACAATATCTGTCGAACGCACTTTCTGGAGAAGAACTGATAACTGGTGGTAAAACTCATCCTTGATTGCATCCGGGCTGCAATCTGTCGGGGCATAGGCGGAGATGACGAAAAGACATCGTTTCTCACGCCGATTTCTTCTCACTTTGATGGAACTTTCTAATCTAACAGCACATAACCGACTGTTAATGGGGATCCAATCGACTAGTGCTGCCTCAGCTCTAGCGCTTAGTGCGACACCAACGCCAGCAAGACCAGACGAAGATGCCACAGGGTCCCCGGATAAGCGCACGTAAAACAAGCTTTTCGAAGCGACAGATGGAGATCGAATTTGTAGTACTTCGCCAGAGTCTTGAATACGGGTCTCGGATAGACAACAAACATCGATATTAAGACTTTCCAAAGACATAGCCAGCCCTATCTGTTGTCCGACCTGCATAAATGTGCGAACGTTGAAGGCAGCCAGTTTGAATGGTGCACGTGGTTTCAGAAAAACTGCTTCAGTCCTCGTATTCGGTGGTAACATACAATTTTCAACCGGACAGTGACTCGAGAACGTTTAGATACAGTCGAATTTCCACCAAAGACGAGCCGCTGTATAAGTATAAAAGAGGGTGAATAATGTGGATAATAATAATAATAATAATAATAATAATAATAATAATAATAATAATAATAATGACAATAATAGTAGTAATAATAATAATAGTATTAATAATGACAATAATTGTAATGATAATAATCTGAATCAATTGTTTGTTTTTCAAAGCGAGAAAGGTAATTTCCATAGGCATAAAGAGTTCATCAATTTGTGTGTGGGCTGTGATACTGCCCGGGTGCCCAAACCGAAGCAGGTGGTTATCTTAGGGGGCCACTCCCCGAGCCTTTGACCTAAAGGTCTAACCCACAAGGCAGTGGAGCATCGTAAGGAGATGCAGTCCCATGGTAGCCGGTGACCAACGATTGGTTCATACGCCATTTGTTCCCGCAGGATACTGGAGCCCATGTGCACCATTGATTTGGAATCCGGTTAAAGCGCCGGACATTCGCTTTTCGTCCTCTCATTTTCGTAAACAACACCCCCGCCACGAGAAGGCAGTGAGTAGGACTTCCCTGGCAGAGGCTGTATACGCGTGGCCGTGTGAGAGTATTTTGAGAGGGAGAGCGGACTCTCCCCACTCTCGCCCGTACCAGGGCATTCAGGGGGCAGTTGAAGGCAATATACATAGCCCTCCTATCTACTATCTTGCAATACTGGGGACCTGCCTGTAGTTAATCTTGTTATTGTCGTCTTAAAGTGCCTAATTTACTTCACATATACTCAGGACGACAGTCGTTTTCATGAGCACATACAATACTAACTTGCCAATAACACACAATTTAATCAGACTATAAATTATTTGAATAGAGAGATATAGAAGCTATGACGAACAAAGGGAGCTAATCTTGAGGATATTATTAAACTTAATTCTAAGTCTGTAAAATACTAACATTTCGTTTAGTTCCTGGATTATTTCATAAAGCATAAGCTTCCGTTTGATGCATAATACACGGCCGTACCTTTTTCTATTCCAAAACTATTGTAATTTATACGTAACAATTTGCACTCTACTTTTTTTACCCTAATGCTTAGTTTGAATATAATTGTATTTTTCTGATTGTTTGTACGTTGTGATCGTGTTAGTCATATATTTATTCATATATCTCGACTCGGACTCACGCAATTCTAGCCTCAAGGTTGAACCAGTTAGCCTACCGTGTCAAAGCCTTAACCTAGATCGAGGAAATTCTTCTCCTGTATGTTCTGGGCAGACAGATGAAGGACGTAACAACACAATGTTCACTAGCTTATACCTCATTCTAAATATTTCAGTGATACACAACTTAATACTGCAAGTGGAAGTTCGTACTAAACGCATTTGCAACCAAATTGAATGCTACACATTCTAGCACCTGCAAGCTTTCAAATCAACTTATTAACAAACAGAACCGATTACTTGATGATCACTCACCTTTGGGTCCAAACAGGGCTTGGTAACACGGAATCTGACAATAGGGTTTACCATCATGCTGAAATATAAATAAATATCATACTGATTAGCAGTTGCAAAAAGTCACTCTATTATGTCCTTAGTTTACATCAACTCCATAATAAAACTTACATTTCTTATACACAACCACAACATCCGAACAATATACTTAACCTTTTAATTCTCATTATGTCTCACTGAACAAAACACTGAGAAAGTTCATTGACTAACACTTTTCTGTTGAAAAGAATTAATTGATATGTTGTAAAATGCTATGTGGATAGTGATATCTCATCGGCTTCAGATCAGCAGTATGAAACCAAAGCTATCACACTGATACACCGTTTAGTATTTCAAAAAGACCAGTTCAAACTACCGTTTCGGTGAATGTAATGACCAAAACTAACACTACTAAAGAACGCGACAAAGAACATTCCACAGAACCCACTAGGAGATCCTAATCAATGAGAATAATATTCAAGATAACACATTTTCACAGATTGCTCATAGGCATGAATAAGACTTACGCGGTTGTGCCGTACTTCTTTATCATTCTATTTTTTGTGTCTCTCAGTAAATACTCCTTCGAATCAGTATAAAGTAAATGAAGAAAAAAACCCACCAGTCATCTTTCAAGTATTGCTAGACCGATTTGACTTGAGAATTTCAAATAAATTGGCCTTCCAATAGATTGCTCACAATAATACCTTATTCGTAATAATCCAATGAGTAGAAAGTCGGATTTATGACACCTTGCGACTTAGTGAAAGTCACTTTTTCCAGAGAACAAATAACTAGCAAGTCAGTTTAAATAAAAGCACAGGAAATAAATTAGACCAAATATTTGCCAAATACAAACAAGTAGTCATACTAATGTTATATTAGGTCAAGGGTGAATCGACGCGAAGCGAAGCTGAATCAAATACGAAGTGAAAATAAGATAAATTGAAGTAATCATGTTGACAAGAAAGATAGTTATTTAATGATTTTAAGCCAACTTATTCATGAAAACAATACGGTAAACAAAGACACTTACTTCACAGTGGGAACCCGCAGTCAGCGTTTTTTTGCACTTTTCGCATTTTAAACACGGACGATGCCAGTCTTTTCCAAGTGAACTGACCCGCTCAGCTATTTAATATAATTGCATACTATTAAACCTACCAAAGTAGACCTCCTTATTGCATGAAGGGCATTTCATGGCTGATAAACCCAGGTAACAAAAACAGAAGGGAGAAACTATACCGACAAAACGCTAGCACGACCTACAGCTTACACAACGTAACTTTTCTCATGCTTTTATTGTTTATCCAATCGTATCGGTCTCACCGTCATGTCACATGATTTTCTGACCACTATTTTCAAGGCCATCAACGACCAATTAAAATCACACTTGAGCAGTTGAAGTCCAATGAAATGAATCTGATTGATAGGGGTGTATTGATCAAGTCATACATGAATATGTAGTGACAGATATGTATCTTCAATATATTTCTCTGTCCTCTTGTTTATACCGCATACTATACGCACAACTAGTAGAGAAAGTGAGCTGAACATCTTGATTGAGGACCATGCATACAACGTGTGATTTGAGTGCGATGGGAGAGTGTACGGATTAAGAAATGATCTACTTTCCGGAAATATATTGAAAGTTAACAAGCGACGTTAAGCATGAATTTAAAGTATTCTCTCTTCAGAATCTGATAAATCTGCACTTACGTAGAGGACAAACTGAAACATCTGTTATCAGTGTCCATGTTTTGCAGATTCTGAATTATTTTAGTATGGAAATATTAGTGAACAATCTATTAGTATAGGGAATGAAAAACTATTTCTGAATTCGGAATACCAGTCAAAATGGTGGCAAGTCAATAAACAATATGTATGTGTATGTAGATCAACTTTTTCCCTTAAATGTAATAAGATGTTTTCTGAGTATCATTGATTGGGTTAGTTATTGAGATATATCCTGTACATATGAGAATGAGAATGAAAAACGTTAGTGTAAGCTTAAATTTAGCAAAAGTCCAAGGTAAAAGAGGTGGCCGTATCAACTTTCGGACTCATATGTCTTACTTATTTGTGTGGATTCTTGCGGGTTTGTTTGTAAGAGGTAAATTGTAGCAACGTAAGTTGCCCATGATATGTGTTTTTAGGAGAAAAGAGTTGGTGAACTTGAACAGATTATTATTATTTCTAAATTTGAAAGAACTGTTTCACGTTCGTCAGGAACAGAATTAACGGAAGACACTAATGAAGTTGTATTCGTAAAAATCTCAGTGACTGGAATTAAAAGGAATCCCATATTATGTTCGGCAGTCTGATCCAAGCTTCATTTCCTTTGAAGAAGCTTGAAGTGTACTAACTCATTAAGAGTAAATTATTTTGGAGAAAATAGGGGTATTTAAATATCAAACAAACTGGACCGAATGCTGTTGATATACACATTCTTTTGTCGTATGGGAAAGTTGCCTTCTGTTCATTTGGCAACTAGATCTAATAAAAATAAGATTTTCTTTTCTCGGTTGATATCTTTTATTACTACCACTTTAGGACTCAAGAACTCGACGAGGACCTCTATCAACAAGTCCTACTGCTGTTTCACTATTCCTTTTCAACTGTTTTCATTGGTAAACTAACGGGTTAACGTTGTGTTTTTGTTATAACTTGTGGCCTTGTGCCCTATCAATATATAACGTAATGATACCACCAATTAGAGAACAGCGACTTATCGATCAGACCAATGACGCGTAAACCCGTACGAGTGGTCTAGAATCCTTATCAGACCGTCTCCCTGCCTAGCAATGCCTGTTGAGTCCAAAACACCAATCTCAGCCTCTGAAATATGAGTCATGTATTTCAAACATACTGTATTTATATACAAACCAAACAGACCACATCTCACCACAAAATAGAAAACAATATTTGTACAAGATCTAGCCAAAAATGGCTGTGAATGTGGGAGATTGTAATTAATAGACTGAGCATAATTCAAGAACAGTAAATCGCATAATAATAGTCTATGGGTCAAGACAAAGCTTATAATAGGAGGAAATTGAATATGCATAGTTTAGTTACATAACAATTATACAATAAAAATATATGCATCATATTGGTCCATAAATAGTTCTCAAAATCTACCACTTATAGTTCTTGTCGGGTTATAACAGTTTTGAGGAATTGGTGGGTCCACCATCCCTTTTGACTGTCGATCTTTGTTCGCTTCTCAATTGTGAAAGAGAGGCTAATTCCAAAGTTGTAGCACTTAGCATAATAGCAAGAGATTCCTACTTTACTATTCCAGCGTCATGATGCATAGGTGTATCTGAACAATGTATGTAAATATTGAGGAATTATTTATCTGAGTTAATCTCGTTCTAGGTAATAGAACCCTTCTGAGTTTTATAGTTCCGATGTGAGAATTTCTACTCCTTACCTGAAGTTTACCTGTTTGATTTTATTCTATTTGTGTTACGTTTCTCCAAATTTCTACTGATAATTTCTTTGAAAATTAGTTATCAACGATGATCGTTATTCAGTAAACCAAAGTGTATCATGGTCTACTAAAGATAACCTTTAGCACCTCTCACTATCATTTAACCCCGGATCATTGTGGTATAGAACGAAAAACACGCATCTTATGATAAGCGATTTTATTACAAAGTATATGGTATTAAAATCACAGAGATAAGTAGTAATTAAATAAATCTATTTCATGAGTCTTGGAAAGAGTGTGAATTATGAAAAATGATCGTACGTTTTCGAGATCTCAATATTATGCGTAAAAGTCATCAATGTCTGGAACCGCACCATAGCCTGAAATGAAATCAGAAGAAAAACTGTACAGAAACTGATTTTATTTACAATTCTGTCTTATTTATAAATGGATTTCAAAAAGAGTTATTATCATTGAGTAAGGAATTTGTAATTAAGCATTTGATATAAAAGGAATAGTGTTCAATAATTTTATGTCCTAAAAAATAAACTAATTCAAATGAACTGTCAACCAATTTCAAAGTCAGAATCTTCAATTCGAACGTCATAACAGCTCTGTTGTATGGAGCTGAAACTCGGGGAACTACTACATCAACCATCAAAAAATGCATGTATTTATAAACAATTGTCTACGTAAGATGCTCAGCATCCGTTGGCCGTATACCATCCACAACAGTCTACTGTGGAAGAGGACAAAGCAGCATCCAGCTGAGAAGGAAATCAAAAAAAGACTTTGGAACTGGATAGGACATACATTACGGAAATCACCAAACTGCATCACGAGGCAAGCCCTAACTTGGAATCCTGCAGGGAGACGGAAAAGAGGAAGGCCAAAGAACACATTACGTCGGGAAATAGAAGCAAGCATGAAAAGGATGAATAGCAACTGGGAAGAACTGTAAAGGATTGCCCAGGACGGAGTTGGATGGAGAATGCTGGTGGGCAGTCTATGTTCCTCCATTTGAAGTAACAGGCGTAAGTAAGAAGTTTATTTCCTCTTCATAAATTAATGCAGAGTTAGTATGTGAATTCACAGTTATTTATTTGTTTGGTAAAACTATTGATGAGTAGTCGAATGACTCATGGTTTATTGGTTATGTTGAAGTTTACTTATCCATTGACTCATAAATTTTAGTCAGTTTTTTTTACAACGTAACCGCACCAAATGAGTTTTCATTTGGTATTCCAGCAAATTATTTATTACACAAATGTCACTTACTCTAATTTGCTGTCAGACCCAAGAATAAGCCTAATTAGTACTCGACAATCATAGTTATGTGTATTGATTCATCAGAATATTTTGGTCGCGCTCTAGAATATATCATTATTCTAATACACCAGCAATTGAAATGAATTTGAAAGCTACTGTGGCATTAGTTTTTCAAAATCCACTTTCTACTGGTTTATCTTTCAAAAAATCCAGATTCTTACCGAGATTGTCGTGATAATTGTCGAATGATAAATGTTACTTTTATTAGGAAAAGAAAGATCATCAAACTACCAACAACTCACCTCTCGGTCCAAACAGCGTATTATAACAAGGTTCAGTACAATATAGTTTTCCATCACGCTGAAATGCAAATATGATGTCGTCAGGATTATTAGTCTTTGGGATGGTTTGTTATCGTATGATATTGGTTACTACTGGTTTAGATTATGTTGTTGTTGAAATGTAAATCATTACTAAGCAGTCTTAATAGATCATTCAAACATCTTTGTTTATTCATTTTGTAACTTAATCATCTTACTCTTAATCTAGCCAGTTACAATTACTGAAACTCTTGAACTCGGTCCTCTGTACCCTACTTTATACATGTATACAGTGTCTTCAGTTTTCTCCAGTCCATTGAGAAACGTAGTCGGAAACTTTCATCGAATCCAAACTATGGCTTGAGAGAACATGTTACTAAACATCATCAATGGTGTACTTATGTTATTTATTTCGTGTCGAGAACCAATGCAGTATCCATGTCAATTAAAAAATAAGTTATTAAAAAGCGTAAGTAAATACTATGACTACGTAAAGTGAATCATAAAACTGGTTTGAATCCCATTAGCGAAATCATACTACTCTTGAAGCGAAACGGTCTATGTCGTTATAAGAAATCTAGCCAAACCACTCAATCGTTAAATGAATGCAACATTAGCTAGTACAATGTGAATAACTGTTTCAAACACGCTTCATTGAAATATAATTCACCAAACAATACTTTAGATACAATTTCGTTAGTTAAAGCAAATATTTAATAATTCACTTACTTCTAGGCCACAACCGGGAAGCATGGTTTTACTACATCTGCTGCACTTTAAGCATTGGCGATGCCAGTCACAACCGAATGAGCTTACCCGCTCAGCTGTTTAAATAATATTTAAAGTATTGTGCTCACCAAAGTAAACTTCTCTATCACATCCAGGACACCTCATAGTTTCAGATGGCAGATGCTTCTAAAATTAATCAAGAAAGCTATTGAACTGATTTCTATTTATGACAATTTACAGCTTGAACATTACTTCTGTTTGACGGTTTTATTACTTGTCTGAGGAATTGATTTGAATATTCTGTCATATGTCCCAACACTTATTGTCATTTAGAGTACCAATTGCCAATAAACTTCTTGTCTGTATAGCATGGTAATCCAATAAGATAATCACAACTACCAATAAAAATTAGGAGGAGGGGTGGATAATTAGGTCCTTCTCAAATGGTTTGGTTGAAATTCACATTAACTACTAAAGTATACCTCACGTGCTACAAATGGGTGGTATAGAA